AAAAGGTTTTGGCAGAACATTAATTTTTTTCAGAGTTTCAGAATAGCTGTTCATGTGAAACAGCACTTTTTTTTTTTTTTTAAATTATGTGGGGCCTGTTCTGAGTCTGGTTCAGCTTTACCCTATCAACCCAACATGCTTTTGGTCACTGCCCTTGCCCTCCACGTTCTGTGGTTAATTTCTCTGTGCATATTTGCTGCACAGGTGAGGATTTTGGCTATTCTGACCAAATTCCTTCTGCTCGCAGGAGGGGCAGGGCTGGCAGGAGCTCCTGACTCTTTCTCCTGGTGCAAAGCAGGAGGTGGGGATGCAGACCCTCTGCCCTGCCTTGTGTATGAGTCTTGCCTGCACAATGCCACTACGCTGAATTCAGCCACAGCGTGTTTAACTGCATCAACTAAACCAGTCTCACTGCAAAGCCAACAAATTGCTCCTGAGAACAGCCACCTTCAGCCCTGCACTGACTCGGTGTCTCCCATTTCCACATGAAAGGCCATCCTATGGGTTTTTCTGCTACTTCATTCTTTCCAGAGAGAGAGATATCTCTCTCCAAGGAACTGTGCTATTTTGGTACAGTTTTGTTTTGTCTCAAAGTAGACCATGTTTTGTGCCTGGTATTAGTAGATAAAAAAGTACACAGAAACTCTCCTTGTGTTTGTCAGAGGTGGAGGAGAGCTGTGAGACAGACCTTAGGTCTTCAGTTTAAGATCAGTCCCTGAGAAAGTCCTTCTTGCCCTGAAAAACATCACTTCTGGGGACAGAAATCCATGAAGCTTCAGCCCAGGAAAAGTGAACGTGCTGCACATGAGCAACAGATGATCTATAGACCTTAACCAAAGAAATCCCACCTTTCTTTGAGGAATTTTCTTATCAGTTAAATGAAATGTCTGTCTCATAAATAATAGGCAAAATTTGACATGATCTTATGATCTAGCATAAGATTAGTAGACCATTTTGCCCCTATGTGACTGTGTCATAGGTCTGAAAAGGTCTGTTCCATCTACAGCTCCTTTTCTGGGACTCTTTTTAAAAAAAAAATTGCGAAGCAAAAGCATGGATGCATCCACGGGGTAAGGCAGAGATCATCTCTTTTGACCTTGCAGCTCTGCCCTTCACTGATGAACCCTGCAGACCTTGCACATCTATACTTCAACAAATCATGGAGGATGCCTGGCTGTTATCACTGGACTAAAATGATGCAGCCAGCAGTAGATCACCACCTACTCCACAGATAAATCCAAAAAGTGGAATCAACCTGTTATCTAATGTCAAAATCAGAGTATTTAACTACGAAGTGGGAGAGTGGCTTCTAGGCCCTACCTGGCTTGAGCAGGGGGGTTAACCTCCTTCTCGTCCACTGCAGAAAACCGCCCTAAGCACCAGCCTGTAGGATATTCTGGATCTAGAAATGCTCAGCTCTACCTTCCTCTTGAGGCTGTGCTACTTGCAGTCAGGCACAGAAGTCATGAGGACAAACAGAAAGCAGGCTAGCGCTGGCTGGGTAGTTCACATCTTCAGCTAGGATTAAGGGGATCTGGAGCTTCCAGTCCCAGGTCTGGATTTGGTTTTTATCCTATGTCAGCAGTACAAGGTGGACCACTTAGCTCTGCCAGGCTGAGAGCAGCAAAAATGAAGGACCTGCTGAAACCAAAGAGACTGACTCCTTAGTGTGACTAGGAGAAACAGCTACAATGGGCAAACTTGTAGCTGAAGTCATCTTTGTGACCAAATGGCCACCCTGAAACCTCTGATCTTCATAGACTTGCATTTCTGTAATACCTGCTAATACCTTAACGGTTTAATGGGTGAAAACAGGAATGACCACAAGCATCCAACATCTGAACTGAAATCTCACAATTAACCTTCTCCTTTCAGAAGCAAAGCAAAGGATTTTGCCAAGGATCTGCTGATAAGCTTGAATTAAGAGCATGTTGTGTAACCACTCAATTTTTGTTTCAAAATGTTTTACATTGTGTTTTGGATCCTTTTGTTCCTGTGCAGCACTGACCCTACTTTCAGATTTTGGCATGGCTTTTTAGTGTTTTTTCACGGCATAATGCTCAGAAACGTTAAGTTTCCCTGTTTAACTTTGCCGAGTGAAGGAATCGTACAAAGACCGCCAACTTTCTGGATTCACTTAGTGCATCAGCTTTATTATAACACCAAGTGTTATTGAAAATGTAGCTCACCAAATAAAAGACCTTTCTTCCCTCTATGTAAGCAGGGCTTTTTTTGTTCTTACTGGCACATGCATATGAGTAGACTGCTGCCCTGAACATTACCTTTTTCAGGTAAGAAAAAAGAAAGAAAATAAATCACTTTCTATCAATAGTCCAGGGAAAGATTAAAACCTCGCCCAGAAACGTGACTGTTAATTTACAGAAACCCATAAAAGCCAGGCTGGGTGCCAAGCAGCGCAGCATTATTTGTGCTCCAGCATTCTTTCCCTCTTTATGTTCATCAGTGCATGACTCGTTAGACAACTCTCATTCCATACAGACAGATGAATAATTGTCTCAAGCAGACATGGCTTACAGCCCTCCTAACTTCTCAAATTGAGTGGGTAGGCTGTAAGGAGCGGCTTTCTGCCGTATGAAATATGTTCTGTAACTTAAAGATCTTTGTAAGTGGGTTAAAGGTTTGGGGTGTTTCACTGAGTCCTAGTAACAGTGCAGGACATGATCACATCACGAGCCCCAAAGCATGAAAATGAGAAGGAGCAAAAGAGAACAATCTCACCAAGTACGACCATTAGTATTTGTGGTATTGCTGTAATGAACTATTTTACTACTCTTATAAACCTTTTCTTGGTGCTTCATGATACTGTGAAAGGAATCTGGAAATGAGGAACCATAATTTACAACATAATTTTTGGTAAGATCCTGCAGGATGTGGGCTTGGCCCCCTGCTCCTCGGTATTCATGTCGGAGAACTGAAAGAGTATAAACTCTCCGCCAGTGAAATGCAGTGAAAAATGAGGGGTGTGCTCAAGTAGGCCTGGGAAAGGTCAAGTTACACGGATTGCTGTGGATCAGTTGGCAAGATGAGTTCATTTGGGCAAAGTTATTTTAATATGCAAACTCGTATATTATGAAACAAAGACAACACGGATCATACATGATGGGAGACCATATCCCAGAGGGCAGGTCACTGCAGAAGACCTCACCGTAGCAGCAGATAACTGGAGTTCCTGGTGCAGGGGAATATCAGAATATGAGACTTGAAGTGACACTACCAGCTGGAAAGCTTCGCCCACCTTCGCATTCACAGTTTTCCAAAAGGTAAAGTGGGGGAAGAAAACCCAGCAAAAAGGCAACAGAATAACCTGAATCTTAGAAATTGAAGAATTTAAGCAGCTTAATTTTATTTAGTTTTCCAAAAGAAATACTATGGAACAGAGGCTTCTTGAGAAGACAATTTTTATAAGAGAGGTCTCTCAAATTTACTAGGAAAAGGTCTTGACAGCACCCAGTTACTGGAATTGAAATTAGACAAAATCTGACAGCATGTTTAACTGGGATGAGCATTAGACCACCTTACACTAATAGAGGAAGGGGACTCTGCCATCACACCAAATCTCTAAGTCAAGGTCAGATACTTTCTAAAATGCATGCTATAGCTCAAATGGATATCAGAATCCAGGGTGACACTTTAGGCTTAAGTTATACAGTAAGTGAGGCTACATGGTCAGGCACAGTGATGGTGTTACCATAATGGTTGTGATACCCATTGAACGTAGGCATTCTCTCCCATTTCTGCTGCTTAGACAATGTGGAATCAGCAGGGGGTTTTTTTTGTGTTTTCATCTCAAGATTGTACTTTCCTCTCAAAAATTAGATTGAGACATGTACAGTAAAGGATTTCTAGAATATAAATTTTCTTCAGAGTCTTCAGATAATCCCTACACTAACATTCTGAATATTCTTCATATCTGTTAAGGACATACTTTTTATTGCATGTCATCCCCCATCTGTCTACTGACTGGTTAAGGCAACTGTGAAGCTCGGCAGCGCTGGAACCCTTGCCTGCCTGTCTCCTACATGACTGCATGGTAACCGTGACTTTTGAGATGGGTGCTACCAAGAATTAGCAGCAATACTACATATAATGCTACATAGTTAAGATAGCAATGAGGTCCTACGTACAGAACATACACACTTCATGTATGGCGTATATCTCATATTCAGTCCATTCATAGCTTGCGTTTCTTGACATGCACAATGCTGGAGGTGCCTGCACTAAGCTTTGGCAACAGATATAATGGGCTGAAGCCAACAATCACTGTGGCTGGAAGACACAAAGCAAAGCGACAGGTTTCCTACTGATTCTTGGATCTAGCAAGCTGTCCCATGCCTGGCAAGTGGTTTCTTCAGAATGGCCATGGTGGGTGTGCAATACATATATTAGCACCTGCACAGCAACACATAGTTGACAACCTACCAGTCAACACCAGGAGTCATTTGGGCTTGTGAGATACCTGCTACAGGAGAAACTGGAGAGCCTCCTACTGAACAGACAAAGCAAGACAGAAAACATACTGATGGAAAGGAAGGAAGAAATCAGTATTCAGCGTTCCTCAGATAAGCCTTCAACAGGGCTGCTGTCATTTGTTCTCTGAAAATAAGATATAGTCCTATCTCCTTGCATTGCTATTAATCATGTAAAACACACAAGAATATATTAAAAGTCTGATGTTTTTCAAATGACTGTTGAGGCCAAGCTGAAGTAAAAAAGAACAGAAAGTGAAACAGATGGGAGCAGGTAAAAGTTGCAGTATGAACCCCCTGATTTAAAGCTTAACAACAACTCTAGCCATAAGCACAGAGTAACTCTTACCGGGTTTTCAGTCTGGTTGATTCCAATAAGAAAGACAAGCTCAGAGAAGAAAAGGGCAGCCACCAGGTTTTTGTGGATACTATGCAAGTTGGAACGTAGTGTGCGGATCAGGACCAGCAGTATGAACGTGATCAGCAAAGCCACCAGCGAGATGGATACGGTTGTGTAAGTGACGATCTTCAGAGGAAGCACCTCCCCATTCTGTAGAAAGACAGATTGACAGGACCTCTGGGAGTTTTTCATTCCTTTTCCTCCAATCAAATCTACTACTCGGAAAGCCAATGTTTTCAATACTACTGAGCCAATGTACAGATTTGCTTTAGGACCAACCACTTGCTTTAGGAGTGGACAATGCCACCTCTTAAGTCACTCAACATGTTGAGTGTGTACGGGCAGTACCCAGAGGGACCAGAGAGTTAAGCAAGAATCCTGGTGAATTTGATGCTGGACTGCCCCTGTTGAGGCTATCCTGAGATGCTGAAACACCTAAGGTGTTTATGTCATTGTCCCGGCTATCGTAATTCTAGATGGACCTAATATCAAGTGATGCCACAACTACCATGTGTCTGTAGTCCTTGTCTCACTCCCTTCCCTGCACGGTTCTCTGCAGCACAGTCTGGTGCAGTTCTGCATTGCCGGCTATGCCATGCACCGACCAGGTAAGAAGCTCCTTTCAGCAGTGGTTTTTTTCAGGCACAGGATAACATGCTCCTGACACACTGCAACATGTTCTGTGTCCTGTTCAAAGCTCAAGCTCAAGCTCTGAATCAAAGCTCTTGAAAACCAAAGCCCTCGAAAATCGTAAGTCTGGCATCACCCACCTCTCGTTTCGAAATGTCCATCAGGACGGCAAAGCTGGTTATATGGTTGCACTGGCAAGCGATATGGCTGTGGTTTCTGGAGAACAGCTCACATCCTCTGGAGGACCAGGCACCTGTCCCACCAAGCCTGTGGGGAAAAAAAGGCATTTCTGAGAGCTGTCCTCTGATCTCCCCTTGCCTCCTGCTACTATTGCAGCTCTTCCTCTGCAGCCGAAGAGGACTGTAAGTACCAAGACAGAAATATTCTGCCTGAAAGAATATCATTAACTTAAAAAGCCTTCGGTTCAAGTAGTCTCTGCTATGACACTGGGCTTTGCCGGCCAACTTTTGTGGTTTTATAACAATCTGTTTTGAGTTTTTTAAAAAACAAAAAAAATCTTTGCTTTTGGGTCAGTGACCACACAAGCAATATGGGTAAGTGATTGCATAGAGTAAACTGGCCGTAACAAAGGTAAAAAAATACAAAAACCATAGATACACAGGTTTTTGAGTCATCACTATTTCCCTAGATTTAGACACTGCTTTTAAAACTCTTATGTGAAATATGTTTCAGCAGTAATATGATTTCATCATAGTGTTCCTCTAAAAAGTAGACAAGAAAAGGTTAAAAATAGTAAATAGTATTTTCTATCAGGAGATCTCTTGTATTAGCATTGGGGAGAAACTGCTCCCTTAAAAATTGTTCCCTGTTCAGCCTTGGTTAACTCCAGTGACTTCAGAAATTATTTTGTATCAATATTAATTGTTCTATTCTGAAGTCAACGAGCAATAAAAATACTCTTGTTGTTGCTGAAAGAATTTTTAATTAGATATTACAGGAGATTTTTTTCATTCAGCAATAAAATATTTGTTAAACAGTTTTAATATCACTTTCCCTTGAAAAGTACTCGCTTTTTAAAAACTCTTTTGTTACATGCAGTTTAAGAGCTGCTTTTTAACTGTGGCTGCAGGAAAACGTAACACAGACAACAATACCATTGAAGTTGCCAGCAAATAGCTAATAGATGAATCACTTTAGAGCTAATGAGTTATTCAAGCCCATACGATGTTTAAAAATTTATGAAAAAGGACTTGCCATTCCCTCATAGTTGGCAGAATCATCTGTACGTAGCAGCAACTACACTACTTTACATGCAGGCAAATAGAGTAGTTTATTATTGCTAACATAACAAATTTCTGTTGCCTCTTCGATCCTTTCAACGATATAATCTCCTGAAGCTTTTGACGAGAAGGCAAACATTTCCTAGGTTAGTTTGCTCTTTTATTTCCAGCACAGGATATTGCCTTTTAATGGATTTTTCCAAAGGTTTACTAGAGTTTTCAGATCATTAGGAAATGAGTAACAGTATTCCTCTTACCCTGGGCAGACAATATCATCCTCTCACTATATACCTGGTTTTATGGTTGAAAATTGCATTATATATGTAATAGTTACAATATTGTGAAATCATAACATGCAGAGCGTGTAGTTACGTCTCAACACATTTTCTTTTGTTTTATCCACACTCTTGAAATACCTCCAACAGGACTGTGCTGTTTCCACAATGCCATAAACCCAACAAAACACTTATGAGCATACACAGTTCTTAGCATTTTTCACATTTTCAAGAAAAATATGTCTGTATCTTTAACTTTACTGAATACAAAAGACCTAAATGAGTCATTTTCAAAATATTTCATCTTTTTGCTCACACTTCCCTCCTAGAGAGTCAATACTCCTTGCTTATGTTCTGTTTATGTGTTAGGATTGCTTCCTAAAAACTGGAAGAGGTCTAAGATCCCAAAGAAGGTATTTCCTCTCCCTCCAATTTTTCACTAAAACAAATGAAAGCAAATCTACAATAGCTGATGGAATGAAAGGTAAGTTGCTTCTTAACAGTGCAGCTGTCTTTGGGTTGTCTTTTGATCCAAAAATTTGAGGTTCAAAAATTTATAGTCTCTACTCATATAATTTTATCTGCAAAACCTCAGTCCTCCTTTTTACCACCATGAAGACTTGGTTTTACTGGCCCTGGCTGAGGCATCAAGGGTGGGTGACTGCTTGCCATGTACTTTGTCCATAGTCACGGGAGTGTAACAGAAGATTCAGCCCATGTAAGAACTGAATCATCTCCTGGAGATGCCCTCCTTAAAAGAGGGCATGGGGCAGTGAGAGTCCTGACTTAGGGACCTCAGACGAGCCATGAATTCAGGCACTGGAGTCGGACTATGCCTGTCCAGATATGCATCTATGGGCAAAAAGCATGAGAAAATAGATGGAAATTGTGAGACTTATTATCGCTGGGTGAAAATGAACCCTGCAGAAAGACATGATGGCACTGTGTTTGTTAGAAACCACGTGGCTAACCCTTTCTTTGAGGAGTTATGATGATTATTTTCATTTTTCTCAGGTTGGTGGGAAGTGATTACATGGCTCTATTCCACCAGGAATCGGTTGCCAGTTGAATAAACTGAGTAAAAAGGGTTTTCCTCCAGAATTATTTTCCTAGGTGGAACTTCTCTGCTACTGAGACAGTTGCCACGCACAGCCCTAAAGCGAGCAGGATACATACGTGATGGAGTGATTCCAGAAGACACAGACGGGCTTCGTTCTCTCCTCCGTTTCCAGCATGGCGTACTCCACTATGATGGGCTTTTCCATCAGGTTGGGAGGAAGCTCCCCGTCACTGTGAATGGCTGTGCTCACTACAGGTGTGTTAATAATAGGGCGATTTGGCAACCTGCAGAAGGAGAAAAATTGCAAAATGGTCTAAAAGTTAAAATGCAAAGCATTGATTTGGTAGGCTCTGCAAATAAAAGACTTCCAGTAGCTTTCACTCAGAAAATGAAGTAGATGCACCATCAGCCTTCCACTGTTTGTGTTTCCAAAAGCTGCTGGCACTACTGATGCGGTTATTCTCCCACAGCGTACCAGAGAAGGTCAAGAGACAGTACTGCAGTGACAACTGCAGCACAGATGACATTTGGTTAGTGTAAAAGCAGCTCTGCCTTCCCCGCACACTCAGAGCAAGTGGAAGAAGGGATTTGCACAATTCACAAATAGGTCTGAAGTTTACCTTAGGCTCCTTCGGTCAGGATCATAGTTTTCAGGCAGGAGGTGTCCCAGGGATCGGTATATAACAACCATGGCAACAGTATGATGTATTGAGTCATCTGGGTGTCGCTTCTTTCTCTTTGTAAATGCACTCTCAGGGCTTAGCGCATCACTGTTCACCTTAGAGGATAATTTTTGATTTGAAGGCTTCATTGTAGGCACTGCTATGGAATTAACACAAATATTAAATTCTTTCCACACAACTTTGGAGATATCATTTAAACTGGTAATTTTGCTTGCAAAGATACAGAAATGTTACTGTTGTTATAACTCTAGGCTTATAACACTAACATTATATTTGATATTTTTGATAAAATTTTTAATCAAAAAACCATAGAACCATGAATAACCATTTAGTTCAGCTAGAAAATAAGCCATTTCTAAGCTAGAAGATACAGAAGTATATAAATACTCTGTGCATGATTTAAGGAGAACATTAAAACAATATGCATGCCATTAAATTGCATGTACCTTTATATATGGCAAAGCTAGTGTTATAAATATAACAATTGGTCACAAGGGATTTCTCTGCTAATTCTATCATACAATGAGCTTTCAATTTTGGCAGTATGTCTTAAAATTCACATTCCCTTTTTCGTTACAGAAAAGGTACAAGTCATATAAGCAGGTGCCCTATTTTCTGAGGAAAAAGTCGTAAGGATATATTAGCTTATTCATTATTATGTGTTATCTTCACAAGTGTTACTATTTCCCCATTTGGAGGATATTCAGCCATGGTACATGTATAATTACTGCACTTTGGGTTACCCTCTCTCTCTTCCCTTGCCCAAGGTAACTTGTGGTTCCTCTCAGCCATCTCTGGGTATTTCAGAGACACTGGGAAGCAGGTACTTGCCCATGTATTCCCCCTCATCACCCATCTCCCTGCACAGGTCAAGACTTTATTTGCTGTCAGGTTCTGATAACACAGCTCCGCTCCTAGATTTGGATTCTCCATCTCTCACACCGCCTCCCTCCATCTCTGCAGGGACCAAGGGAAGGTGGCCGTGGGGCTGCAGGCTTCAGGCAGCCGTCTCATCCCATCCCGGTGGGAATGGAGGCAGAGCATTTCTCCCGCATTGACAGGGTGGTTCGAGGGGCCACGAGTGAGACCTGACAGACAGGTACAGCCAGTTACGCAGCCCCCCATGCTTCCCGTCGCTGCCGGCAGGCAAAATGCCTCAGAAGTATGCACAGCTGCTCCATCCCTAAATAATGTTCGCTTGTGTAGACGGTTGCCCTGCTCTCACCCTAGTACCACTCTGCTTCGCAAGGATTAATCTCGCTCCTTGGGAGCTAGTCAAAATTGCCCTCTGAACGGCAGCAGAAGAGTTTTACCTTTCCTGTCTGAACGTCTGAACAAAGTATCAGGGAAGACAACAGATGACTCCAGATCTTTTGGATAATCTTCTTTAATCTCATGAAATCGTGGTATTCTAGCTCCCGTGAAATTAGACTTGTCAAAGATGTCAACAGCAATAACTGGGGGGAAAAAAAGGTTTCCCGTAAAATTAACTTCAATGCTTTCAAATACAATATTGCGACGAACCAAACACGACTGAAAGGTTAAAATGTCTGCACAATGCAGAGAAGAAATTTAAACCCCAATATATAAAGTCAAATCTAATTTCTCTCAATACTTTAAGTGACAACTAAAAGCTTACATTTCAGCATTTTGCAATTTGATAAATGCAACATATTTATTTTGCATAGGCAGTGGAAAGGAGTTCACAAAACAGTATCTCATACTAGGAAAACACTACCGCAAATACTGGATATATAGAAATGGCATGTTCCAATTTCAGACTTGCTTCTTGTAGAGAAGGCTAAATCTGCTGCTTCAGAAATATATTTCTTCTGCATCTGTTAAATTGCAAAGTCAGCTAAGCAAAGAAAATAACCTGGATTTTACCTGGGACTACTCCTTAGTCCTCCAGTTCTCCTTCCTCTACACTAGCATTTCCTCTCTGGCTCACCTCATCAGCTCTGCCTGTTGTCTAACTGCCAAAATATTTAAAAGCAGCTGAGTTGGCTTGAACTTTCCCATTTAAGAGAAGTCATTGAGTGCCAATTTAGATGTTCTAATAAAAGTTAGAAGCTAGAAGTCCTGGGGGTAACCCTACACCGAAAGCTGTGATCCACTGCAAGTTTCTGTATGAAGAAATATCCAAGTTAAGATCTGCAAATTCCCATTCCTTTCCTAGTCTCTAAATAACTCCCAGATGAGCCATTAGAAAACTCCATTAACACCATGTTCACCTGGAAAAACTGTTCAAAAGAAAACAGACCACTTTCAGGCCAGAGTTGCCTCATCCCTCCCAAGCTCACGCCTTTTTACTCAGGAAGAGCTAGTCGAAAAAAATCACGATTTACAACCTGCAAGAAATCCTGGTTTTTGTTTTCATCTCAGTTCAGTTGGGTTAAAGTGCTGAGCATACTTTTTTCTGAGTGTGAAGATAAAAATATTTTGATTCTGATAGTCCTGAATCAAAAGGAAGTATTTCGGGATTGGTTTATTAAACAGAAATCAAAGTGTTTCAGTTTGGCTTAGTTCAACAATGACCCGTCCCCCCTGGAGTTGATGCAGGACTTTATAAACTTTGTAGCTTGACTGTCTCATGCCTTTGATTTTTATGGCCCTGTCACTGTGGACATGAAGCACTCTCAGGACAAGGTTTGTAGGCAAACGTAAATTCACTTCTTATACCAATGGGAAAATAAGACAAGCTTTTGGGCACATAAGCCCTTTTTCAGGTCTGAAATAAAAACTAGATAGCAATGCTGCTTGGGAGGGACCTCTAAAGGTCACCCAACTCAGTCTCACCTCCCGCTCAGAGCAGGACTATCACCAACACCCGATCAGCTCAGACTGTCAGTACCTGGGGAGAAAATGAAATAGAGAGGGCAGGGGAGAAAATGGGTAAAGAGGCCAACCAGATTGTGGTTGCTATGCTTCACTTGCACGTGTACTGCAGGGACATCTGTGAAGTACATCACAGTCCTGCAAGTGCAGGAACTGCTATCTGCTTGTTAGAGGAGGTGTTTACTGTGACAGGTGGGGAAAATATCTGGGTACGTCTGATGCTTCCTTCTCAGTTTAGACCCATTCTGGATATTTTGGACCCCAAGGATTTTGCTCTGATGATGGGTTTTGCAAGGCTGGGAGAGTGTTTGAAGGCTTGGATAGGTGATTCTGAGAAAATACCTTTCAGCACAGGAATTTCTAGAGAAGACGATTTTCTGGATAGGTTCCAGAGTAGGAAAGTATGTGAAAATCAGAGGTATACGATCAAGAGTAGGTTTTTTTTCTTACTGCAGTAATTCTTCAGGTGGTGGTGGGGTGATTCTTTCAAAAATATGATCTACTTATGTTCAACTATACTAGGTGGTCTCAAAAGGCATTACCTTTACCTACAAACTTTGTCCTTCCTACCATCTGTATACTATTGTGGCTGCAACAAAATGCCACACGGAGCAGTGGCACGGCCCAGAGGGAGAACAGATCAAAATTCTCCCAGGAGGCCCCCATGGCAACTGAGAAATATGGATCAAGGCTCAATTGACTTGAAATGAATGCACTGATTAGATTAGAAAATCCAAGTATGTTGTTTCTCAGTGGGTACTATTAAAACAAATAGCTAGCACCTCTATCTAGCACATTTTTAAAGCTCTAATACAAAACGGCAGTTTTCAACACAGATACTCACTCATGTTAGTGGCAACAATGACAAAAGGTCTCATGTAGGTTTTCTTCATGTTCCGGGCCACATTGTTGAAATATTCCTCGTAGTGCCTGAGCAGGTGAGCGGTGCCACCCTCCGTTCGCTGAATTTGCTCCCAGTGCTCCTTGTTGCTGGGGTCCAGTAGAGCACTACCCACTTTGATAATATTCTGAGAAACAAAGTACAAGCCTAAATTACGAGGCAAACAAAGCGCTGGCTTTCAAGTGAGGAATATTGAAAATGATTGGCATTACTGCCTCAGGTGAGTGTATAATGAAATATTTTAATGCAGGCATGTTCTACAGCAGCCTTATGAAAATATGCACACCAGTTACTCACCCTGAGGTTTTTTTGTTACATAAAGCAAATCCCTCCAAACTTTCTATGAGCAAAGTAAGCCAAAATTGGAGGCTATAAGAAAACTGCCTACTTTCTTTCCCCTTTAAGACAGGAAACCTAGCAAGAAAATGTGGAAGGAAAACCTAACCATATTTTCATTGTCTCAGAGAGATGAGAGACAAGAAAAGCAGAGTGCTTGGTATGTACACTGAAGAACTCCCCCAGAGAAATCAAAATAATGTGTTATGTTAAAAATCAAAAGAAAGCTATAGATAGCAATATCGCTTTCTCTTTTATTTTGATTTTTTTTTTACTTTGTTGATTCCTGGATAACTAGGACAACTTACATGGTGAAGAATGACAGAAGCGAATATTAACTTGCATATACAAACTTGAAGATACATAAGGAAACTTAAATTATGTTGTTCTCCCCCCATTTTTATGTTGCTTACAAATGGTCTCAAAATGGAAGTTCTAGCTGAGGACCTGCCCCTTCTGCCCTGCCTTACAATAATATCCAAAGGGATCCTCAGGCTGAATGGAAAAAGACCCCAAAAGAAAGTGTTAAATGGCTTAAATGGGAAAGGTGCTAAGAAGTTTTTCATCTTGGTGTACATATGAACTACATTGTTGTGTCAAAACCTAATTCCTAATGAAGGTAAAATTTGCATAAATGACGGTAGGAATTAATCACCTCAAGCTCTAAAATAGCCAAGGCAAATATTTGGATACATGTAACCCTTCATTTAGAAGCAAATGGGGAAGATGCTATATTCTCCAAGTATTGTCTGAGGTTGCAAGCGTGTATCTGAGATAATAGAGGCTGCCAGTAAGACTACCTTTATCTAGGGCGAGAAGCACTACATGGTTCCCAAGGAACACAGGAGACACATGCTGTACTTGGTACCAGGCCTCCTTGGTGTTTGTGAACGTTATTTATGGTTTTTTGTTATCTATTTTTCAGGCTTCCACCTGAGACTATTAAAAAAAAAAAATTCCTTCTCCCCTTGTGCTCCCTCAGCCTAGGATGTTACTCCCTTTTTGTCATGAGCTTTACTGATTAGTTTTCAAATCCCTAACCCATCCTAAAAATATTTAGGGAGTTCTTGAAAACATCATCTGTATGAGTTTCAGTGCCAAGTGCAGAGAATAATAAATTAAAGCAGAGGTTTCCAAACCACTTTTTTTGCTTATTGTTCTTATTTTTAGTTAACAAAACATGCTAAAACGAAGTTCCTTCTCAAGATCTGAATGGGGGAATTCATTCACTCCACAGCCTGCAGGTACAAGTTTGTCAGCACAGTGTCTCCTTAGGAAAGGAAAAAACGAATCTCTTAAAATCTCGTGCATCTAAAATGTTCAACGTTTCAGTTGTTCTCCACTCTCTGTGACTGTACAGCCCAAGACACTGAAGAATTTTCTCAGTCACATTTCCTCCTGCTCCCACCTCTCCAGGGATGTCCTCTCCTGGTGCAGCTTGGCCTTGCACAGGGTCTCCAAGTTCACCCCAAAGTCTGCCTGACCTGGCTGGTCCTCCTGGAGTATCGTGAGCAGTGAGCTGGGTGTAGCACACCTTCAAAGGGAGCCAGGCCACCTTTAGCCAGCACAGAGGCCACTCTTGGCCCATGGAGGGTCGTTGCAGCATCCCTATGGTGGTGCCCGAGCTCCGGGCTCTGCTAGCACAGGTCCAGCAGGATGTTTTAGCTTGGACTCTGTGCTGTGCCATGGTAGGGATCTTGGAAATAGTATTGGCAAGCGTGGACAGCAGTACCCTGCAGCACACATGGGAACAAGGAGAGCTCTACGAGCCTGACATAGGTCATCCAACCTTCACATTTTCAGACTACAGAAAATTCCCAACTTCCTCCACATCTCACATTTTTCCACTACAGGTACATGTCTCCCCCAGACAGGGAGGGTGCTACAGCTTGTTCTCTAGACCTGGTCAGGTCTTTGGTAATAACTGGGTCTTTCATGAATGCTCTGACTAGCAGAAGCCCTCTGGCATGCATTTTTGTATGTGCCTGCATCACTTAAAATATCAATATGATATGGAGTGTCTTTCAACGTACCAACTCTTTAATAAACATGACTCAAGCGTTTCCAAACCAAATTATAAGAAATATTCAGAGTCAGTAACTGGCTCAGAGTTAGTTCACTGCACATCTAAATGAAAATGATCACATTAGGCAGATTTTCCAACAAAATTGAATATGGTACACAAAACTATTTTATCCAGGAATAATGCATCAACTTGATTATCTTTTTCATTTGGGGATTTTTGCTTTTGATTGTTACTATGATGATATTTATTATAACAGCGCTTTCTACAATATTTGTATTACACACATATGTGTGTGCATACACACATGAATAACCAACTTTCCATTCTAAATTGAGAAGACTGACTCATTTGTGAAACAGATTAAGCAAGACACCTTGGTCAAAGACAAATTTAATTATACATTGCCATAATACTTTTAAAGGGAACTGTAAAGGCTCAGCACAGTATACAGTATCTCTCTTACTTCATTGAATTCCACGTCCCTCGTGGCTGCCAAGTCAAACCCTTGTTGCTGGCTCTCATATTGGAGGACCCGGATCATCATCTGGTAAGCTGTCCTCACATCATTGCCATACAAGCTGTGTGTGTATTTGGTGGCATTCTGCAGCACTCTCACGATCCGTATGGTTTTGTCTCCGTTCAACTTGGTCTCATTGTGGTGTAGCTTCTCATTCTGAATCAGAGACAAGAAGGAAGAAAAAAACCAGTGATGTATCTTTTTCTTTTCATTCTAGACAATCATCATTTAGCGATTTTTGGCACAAAGAGTTGTTTGATCAAAATGGTGTTTGTCTTGAGAAAGGTTTGACAGGACAACTCAATGGAAAATGTAACTGAGAGCCAGAAAAGCATTAGGGTCCTGACGGGAAACGAGGAGCTTCAAGGACTCAGTCAAAAGATGGAGTGCAGGGATATCAAACCGGAGTCTGAATTGATGATCATTTACAAAATAAAGGCAAAACCAAGAAAACACAGCTTACCATGATTTTTAGATCCACAAAAGTGCTGGTGGTGCAGTTGAAAAGCTCAGGAGGCAGCCAGCCCTTCTCAATGTTACAATGGCGAACTGCGTTTCCTGAAGGAAACAAAGTGTTAATGGTAAATAATGTTCTGAATTGTGCTGGGTAAATCTTCATAGATTTCAAATATCCTAGACTTTCAGATTTCCTACATTTTCAAGTTTCTTAAGCTACGCACATATTTCACTTTTCAAAGTGGGATTCCTGTCTGAGAAAAGTTAAAGACTACTAATCTTCATGAACTGTTTTCCTCAGGCTTTAGAGAAAAGTTAGGCAAGCTTCAAGATCTGCCCAACCGCTCCGAGCCTCGCTGCCCTAACGTTCTCAAATGAATTCAGCAATGTATTTATACCAAATATGAGAGAGACTGTGCACTTCCTAAATATTTCTGAAAACATATCCCTGCTCAAATTTCTGTGCAATAGCCTATATAGGAAGACCTTACGGATAAATGCTGTTTTCATGTCAAAACATGCTAGCACCTTCGCACACTGCATGCGGTAAACACTTCAGCCAACACGTATCATTGCCTTTTGCCACTTGTGGATGGTCTGTGAGCAGCTTACTGTTTAATTTAGCCTATTATTTTATACTATTTGTCAGATAATTTTAAAATGTGATTCTTGGCTGTGGATCCTTCACAGTGAATTGCAAGCTATCAAATTAAAAATTTACATTGTGCTAGTTAACTTGCACATAACATATTGCATGTGTCTAAGCCATTTAATTACTAATCTCTAAATAAGAATTATAATTAATTGAACAATATCTAACTATATTATTTCTCTTCCATGATTAGGTGAATACAATTAAGCCTCAGGTTCTTAGTTTGAATATTCATTATTATAAAGCTTACTTTTTTTGAATGTTCTGTAAAAGTCACTTAAAACATGCAATTCCTATAAGTACCCTTGCCTGCCAGCCTATTTACTAGAAGAGACACTGGGGTCAACCACAAGAACAGTGCAGAAAACTTATTTCAATTCAACTTTATACTGTTTAATAATGTAAATATTCTTCACTTAAAAAAATTAATCAATTCTATCTCCTAAAATCCTCAGAACGGGAGCTTGGTTGACCACAAATCTTCTGCACACGTACAGGCAGTGACCTCCCCCCAGTAATATTTGGGGAAGTCACATAACCATTTATAACTCATTGAGCCCGAGGAGTGCTCACAGCAGAGAGTTACCAGGCCCAGAAATGAGACAGAGGTTTCATTTCCCACTGAACAGCCTTCGGAAAAGATTGTGAACTCTGTTTTCAAAAATCTGCTAAACATTTTCAGGGACATGCGTGAAAAAGCAGATTGTCATTTGCTTGCTGTACAAAATGACACAGCTCACGTGCTTCATAAAATGTGTTTTTTTCAGCCGTCTGAATTATGGGTTAGAGAAAAGATGTTGAGAGATGTGGAGAAAAACGCGAGTTCTGTTGTAACTCTTAGCTTTATTAGCCTGCAACGCTAGTAAAGCAATCATCACATAAATGATTTTCCTCATTTTATCTTTGCCCAAAGGAGCTGTATCACTAAAGAACATGTACAAGCCGCTAGAAACTAAAAGTTACATGTGTAAGAATTGCTTGATAGAGTAAACAGAAAATAGAAAATTGGACTGTGCTTTTTTGAAAATACAGATACAGAATTTCTGTTCTTTATATGTGTTTATCTGTTGCACTTTTGTATTTATTTTTTGCTACTATTCCAAATGTATTTTAACAGTTCTTGAGTTTCAGCTAGCTAAACTTTTCTGCTTGTGATATGCATGAGCTATGCTGTAATCTCTAGACCCAATGAATTAATGCCATTCCCTATGTTCACATTTTTTTGCTCTTTTTTTCCCCCTTAAACAGGCATGTAGATAAAATAGTTAATGTTTTACCCAGGGAACTTACCCACTGATCCCTTAGGACATGGCACAGCAGCTGGCTGGCCAAACTTGGTCTGTGGCCACCAAATACCAGCCTCGAAAGCTTTGGGACAGCCATTATAAATTACTAAAAACAGAAAAAGAAATGATGCAATTTTTCTGATAAGATAAAAATCACAACAAGGAGATATTTCAACCCGCCTAAAGGACCTTCCTGTAATTCCGAAGCCCTGTCAGGATATCTGCCCTCTGCAGTGCCTTCCAAGCTGTAACCCATCAGCTGCTCCTTATCCAGCAGTGCGGGCAGACAGGTACAGGCAGAGGAGAGCTCAGGATAATTATGGGGCTCTGGATTTTGGCTCTGCCTACCTCTGCCTGCTCCTTTATTGTGGGAAAACGTTTTCCTTTCATTTCACCCACACACTGTGGTGAGATGGCTGCTGCAGCAGCTTTGCGCTGATCACAGGAGGAGGGTGGGTGGGTGAGAGGAAAGGCAGGACAGGGAAGAAAGGCCGAGGGCACTAGGTTCGCGGCACAGCCTCTGTGGGCAGAAGGCGCGAGGGCTCTCACCTGCCTCTTCAGCTGCAGCACAGCAATACGATGCTGCACTGGCAGACAAATTCAGGTTTCAAGTAGAATCGGGATTAGTGTTTGCTCCCCCCCCTTAAGCTTGCTATATTTCCATTTGATGAAAATTAAAGAAATACGAGCTTTTTTCTTTTTCCCCAGCCCCCATGAGTCATACTGGCCCAGACTTAGGAGGAGGGGTGCATGTTTAGGCTGCTGCAGCTCCCATTGCCCCTGCTGGAGCCACCCCTTTGGGCTCACGTGAGCCCCAGGATGCAGCTGCATGCCCACCACTGTGCAACCCCCCCATCTCCCCGCTGCTGGCGGCTCTGATCCTGCAACTACAGCCTGGCTGATCAGCAGCGCTTGCTGGACAGGAGGTACCTTCACAGCCCTTCATGGTAACTTCAGCAAATGGGTTGTCGCAGCGGTTGCACTGCCGCCCTATGACGCCAGGTTTGCAAGGACACTGTCCTGTCTCCATGTCGCAGGCGCGTGTGTGGGAGCCAGAGGGGAAGCAGTCGCAGGGGTAGCAGGTGTCACTGCTCTGGGGCCTGTAGTAATTTGCCTACAAAAAACCAAATCAAGAGACGTGAGGTATTTGACTTCATATTCCAAATTGCTTGTGTTTCTGAAATCCTGCTCTAGCAGCATGTGCATTATAAAAGGGCTAATTTTGCAAAGCACGGGATAATAATGATATTATTATTAACAGAAAACGTAATAGCTATGGGAAGTGTGCTTTGTTAGCCCTGGCAAGGCAGAGAAGCAGAGCTGAGTGCCGGGGGGATGGCTCTATGTCATCTCTGTGCCATAGAGACCTGGGGTTTGGACCACCATTTGCAGTGGAGGCGGAGGACCCACGTTACTCCTCGTGTACTTGCCGCCACTGCCCAGCAAACGTATTCTTAGAGGATTTGCAGTTTTCTCTGCTTTGTAATTCCACTCTTGTATGGCACGAACAAGCCAGTAAGGAAACTTCTTGCACCGTCCATTTGTGTTTCATGTACAGGGTGGAGAGCAACCAGTGATCACGTATTCAAATCGCATCTGTAAATGCTTTTGATCCGAGGCGTTACGCGATTACACAAGAGCACGGTGCTGGCACCCCACTGACTCGATTTAACGCAACAGTTGCTGTGTGTCCTGGTGGCATTTTGGAAAGGAGTACGGGGCCAGATTCACTGCTGCCGGTCTGCACAGGCACAGCTCCTCTGATGTGATTCAAGTCTATTGTAAAACCTATTGGGAGAAGTCCTTTGTAAAACCTTCAGGAGGGAGGCGCCTCCCCTCCTGCATCCCCCGTCTGCCCCTGCCTGTCCATGGCAAATTCCTCCTAAACTCAACAGAGCCGTCACTGAGGAAAGCATTTAGCCTCTCGTATTATTTACCTCTCTCCAGCTGCTAAGCCTTTTGCTGGCCGTTGTACAGGGGAGAGCTTCACCCAGCTGGCCCGAGCTGTTTCATGGCTATTACTCCCTTGTGATACACAAAACACCACCGGCACTCCTCTGCGCCCAGGTCTGATCTCCCCCGATAAACCAGACTGCACTTCGGAGAGATCAGAGCCAGGCTTTCATCCTCTCATTTTGCTTTCCAAACACAAATAAGATAAGAGCTGCACACTATGATTTTGTGAAGGGCGGTGCCAGCAAAATGTTTTAGGTAAAGATTAACTGCACTGTGCACATATATATATGATACAAAGCACAACTTTGTACTCAGATACTGACTTGTAGTTATTAGTAGTATAGTTACTTTTAAAACTAAAGAAATTTTGACTTAAGACTGGTTTCTTTTGCTTACCTTGCAATGGCATTCTCCATTGGTCTTATTGCAATCAGAATCAAACCCTTTACTAGTCTCACAATTACATGGGCCACAGATGGGATTTCCCCACCAGCCTCTGGGACAAGGCAGGTCGATCCTATAAAAGAAAATCAAATTGAAAGAAAATTCTTTTAAGCTTCCTCTTAAAAGGTGGGAAAAAAGAGCTTTGGGCCAAATCTGCACTCAACTCCATCAGCTTATAGAGTGTAACGTATCTCACTGCAGCAGCCAACAATCAATATATAAATATATATACACTGTAATAAAAGAAAATAAAGATTATCAGTGCTACGAAATCCTAGAGCGAATGCTTCTCTAAATGTTTTCAAGACCAGCTCCTCTACGTAAGGAGTATACATCTGTACGAGCAAATAAAGTGCTCTTTCCTCTGGGAGAGGGTGATGGGGCTCCTGCTGCCTAGTGGAAACTGTCCTGGTCCCACCAGTCCCATGCCAGGGAAAGCGCTTGCTGCGGCAGGCTGGACAGCCTGTGTTGGGCTGTGCTAGCACTTCAACAGCTCAGGCAACTGCAGGCAGTGCTGAACCTGTGCCCTAGTTTACCTACCACCACAAACAGCCTCGGGGTACAGTTCCCCAACACTTTATATCCCACCCCCCATCCCCACGGGTTCCTGTCCCAGCCCTGCCATGGGCAGCAGTGCTTGTCCAACCTGCGGGGACACCAGCTCAGGTGCAAAGCTGGCTGCAAGCTCACCCTATAAAGAAAAATCACTACTTTCAGCCAACCTGGCTTTCTCAACCAGCTCACCACAGAGTCTGAAAAGCCCTGGTCTGCCACAGGGGAGGAGGAGGAGGAGACCTGTGGTTGGGGACATGGAAGAGGGAAAGGTGGCAGGTTTGACCCAGACTATGAACCAAAGACTATGATTCAGACTATGAGTGGAGCAGCACAGCTGGTCGGAGGCTGTACAGCAACCCAAAAGCCACCCCTGCTGAAGGATAACCCTTGTTTTTGCTGGTTCTGCTTCTTCTGCGTGAGCTTCTGAGCAGATTGTCCCACAGATGCCCCAACACTAGTGCTGGCAAGGAGAGCTCTGGGAAGGGGCTGGGGGAGCGACCAGGGTCTCTGCTAGCTGGAAGTCTTCGTCAAGCAATAGCCTGAAGGATGACACTGCTGAGTCTGTGACCAGCATAATGCACAAGGAATCCCCTCCCTGCTGCTCATTTTAGAAAAGAAAAGCTGTTTGCTGTCTGTTTCAAAGACCACGCTGAATTTTGTTTACGGTAATTGCCAGGTTTGTACTTCTATGCTTTATAATATGAAAAACCACAACGCTGCACTTGACACGATGTCAGCAGATAATGACAAGGGACAGCGTCTCTGTGTCGCTAATCCAGTGGAATGAAAGATGAATCTGGCAACAGCACGGCCAACATTTGCAAGCCCACACAACAACGGGTGGAGGAAGAAGCTTGCGGTTTTCAAAGGGAAGGAAACACCACATGAGCTATTCCTAAATCGGCAGACAAATGCACTTCATTTGCACATCATGAATGGCCCGTATTACAGTAATTCAAAGTGCTGTCTCTGGGATAAGAGGAGGTCGGTTGCTGAATGCTTATCTGAGACCAGGAGGCTGTCGACAAGGGAATCAGCACGTTTCCCCTACACAGCAACAGGACATAGGCCTCCCAGACTGTCCAGAAGAGATGGCTTTTTGCCAGCCCAGGGACTAGACCCAAACTGCAAAGCCATTTTATCTGGCCACGGGCCACTTAACTAGGTGCATCGCTCTGTGTGTGCGCTGGGGGAGCTGAAGGAGAGACGCAGAGCAAACTCAGGCCAAGCCCACCACAAGGTATAGGTCAGATGCAGTGCTGTGTAACACAGCACAATTGGTCTAGCTTCTGTGCTGCTGCTGAAGAAAAGTGGCCCCTGAGTATATGGAAGTTTGCCTGGTCTCTGGGAAGAAAGCTCAGGAGTGCCAAAAGGCAGGGAGCCTGCAAATACCATCTACTATGAACACTCTAATTGTAACAGGAAAGCTAACCGAAGTAGAAAAGGAAGGGGGAGGACTGCTGCCTTAGGAGAAGAGGTACCTGGAAGGATCAAGAAACCAAGAACAAAAATAATTCTCTTACTTGCTCTCGCAGTACTGTCCATAGTAGCTTTGTCCACATTCACAGGTGTAGCCATGGGATGAGCTAGGTTTGTGCACGCACGTGGAGACATGCTCACATGGGTTCAAGTTACATACATCAACACAGTCTCTCCCAAAGTACCCTGGGGAGACAAGGTCATAAAATTACAGCAACCATTGTAATTTACGATTTGCATGTCTCCAAAAGACCATTTTAAGCTTATACACTAATAACACATCTTCAATAATCAGTAGATTCCCCCTGAGATACTGTCAGAAAGAAGGTACTCTTTTCCCTCTCAGCAAAAAAGATAGTGGGCTGTTCTTTTCGACAGTCTGTTAACACGCTTGAGGCACTCTTGTGCCTTTGGTTCCCAGTTTTATATTCAGGGCATGTGTTACAAATAGTTTTGTATTCTCTCCCTGTGTGTATGGGAGGTGACTGTGCTGTGTGCTGACAGCATGTGCTGGCTACATGCACCAAAACAGAGAAAACATTCAAAGTATCTTGATTAGGATGCAGGATGTGAGACTGAAATCCAAAAGCAGAAAAGGCTGCGAAAGAAAAAGAAAAAAAGAAAAAGAAAACAGACAAAAAGTAAAGGGGAGGTGCACAGAAAGAGCCCTTTGGAACAGAGACCATCTTTCTGTTTGGTTGATACGTTGCCTAGAACAAATGATCCTTAGTCCACGACTGCCATTTCAAGGGTGCTACAGTAAGACTAAGAAAGGTAATACTGATTGGAACAGGAAGAATCAGAAGATGAGCACTTTGCAAGCATGCTGCTGCTGCCACTGCTGCTCTTCTGATGAGTGCATGAAGATCTGATCCAGCTCCTGGATGAGTGCATGGGATGGTTACTGGGTTACCTGGGTCACAGACACAGGAGTAGCTGTCCCAGTCATCGCTGCAGTAGCTGTGCTGGGGACATGGGTTGGAATCACAGGGGTTATCCACTTCGCAACCCTCTTTCACGTTGATCTTGATAGCCTGTTTCATGTTGAGCGTAGCTATATTTGTAGATGTCTCTCCCATTCTTACTCCCTGGTGACAAAAGACAATTATTTTTAAATTAGAGTCTTCATTCAGAACACAGTACTATGTGTTTCACTACTTCCATTAATCCATGAGGCTACATTTTAAAGAAACATCACCTGATGAGACAAAGCCAGACTTTTTTTCAAATGCTGTTCCCCTGTGAGACCAGATTTGTACCTGGGAAAGTGGGTGGACTTTAATATTTTGATTCTTAGATATTTTGATGGAGGAAACAGAAATGTTCAGGGATGGATAAAAAAGAAAACCTCACATTTTCATATGGGTATTTTCTTAAAAGTTTGAAGTTTGTTGCTCTACTTTTCATTTCATACCTGCATACAGCCATAAAAACCCTGCT